CCCAGGGACGTGCAGGTTAGGGTGGATTGGCCGTGCTAAATTGTCCCGTAGTGCGCAGGGATGTGCAGGTTAGGGTGGATTGGCTGTGGGAAATGCAGGGTTACAGACGGTGTGTGGGCAGTGGGATGTTCGTTTGAGGGTTGGTGTGGGCCGAATGGCCTCCACCTGCACTGTAGAGATTCCATGATCCTATTGAATGTACAATCGAGAGATTTGCAGATCTTGAAGATCTCAAGGATTGGTGTGGGAATGTATCATGGACCTAGAATGGCCGAGCAGTCTCAAAGGGGCCGAATAGCCTCTTCCTCATTTATGAAGGGGTCCCTAATGGAACGAAGCGTTGGAATAAACGGACGGACTTACCTTCAGTGCTGCTGAATTGATGGTTACCGCAATCGGACCCCTGTGAGCGACCCAGGCTTTCATTTCTGAAACAGGAGATTCAGGAGGTCAAGGAAAAGGCTGAAAGAGACTGTTCAGCCCATCTCCCACCCCCTACTCCCTTTGGTGCTGACCGTAAACCCCTAACGCCCTCCATGGCCAGCCCCACAACCGCCACCTGAAAAGAAAGAGATGACCCTCCCCACCCCCCTCCCCCCACTGACCAAAATGGCGTTGCCTCATGAGCTTGTCCATGTAAACCCCATCCCCCACACGGTAAAAACTCACAAAGCACATGGCTGTGCCGGGGGTAATTGATGGAGGGGTGCGGGGGTGGGGGAGGTGAGGGAGGGTATTGTGGGGGAAGGCTGAAGGGGGGGGCTTGGGCAGTCCTCTGGCAGCGAGTTGACGATGTGATGGGCACCAAAGCAATGCAAGTTTTCGAAAGGCCTCCTCCTCCTCCTTGAGGAAGAGTTGGCCCTTCATTGTTTGCGAAGGGGCTGGGGTTTCAATGGAAGGGAGAAGGGGTGGGGTTTGCTGCGGGGTTGGGGGGGCGTGAGGTTTGTGGGAGAGAGGTTGGCAAAGTGTCTACCCAGTTGGCCCTCCTCCTCCTCCGTGTCACCTTCGCCAACTCACCATCTTCATGTGGGCGAATGCTCTGAAAGTTTTGAATCTTCACTGACACCTTGGATTTGATCAGTTTGCAGGACCCCCGTGAGGCTCTGTACCTGTAGTCACGGTAACACATCAATCCCCCTGTTGGGCCAACAAGCACAACTTCAGTTCTCCATGGTGATGGACCTCAGCCCAAGGACCTACCTAATTGGCTGCTGTCTCCAATCAGCACCTCCCCTTCCCTCCCTCCCACTCCCCTCCATTCCCTATCTCCATAACCTTCTCCGACCTGCCCTTCGAGATCCTCGCCCTCCTCTTGTACCCACAATTCCAAAGCCTCCTCCATTGGCCGCTGTGCCTTCAGTTGCCTGGAGCCAGATCCTCCAACCCCGGACCCCCCACCCGCACCCCCTCCTCGTGGTTGGGTTTTCCAGCCCCTTGGCCTGACGTTTCCCTCCACCCTGACCTCACGCTGTTCGGCGATGAACTGCGCTCCGTACGCCCCAGTCTCTGCGACAGCGTGAGAGATGCTACAGCAATGCGGCTCGCTATTGTTGGACTGCTGCCATCTCACCACCCAAAAGCACCCCCACTCGGAATGAGCACACAAAGAGAAACACGGCAGTGCTGGGAAGCTGACAAAGAGTTTCTGGAATGGCCTGCCGAAGAAAGTTAGGGCTGGCATTTAACAGCATGAGGAGCCCAATGGGTGATGAGTTTTTTTTCCAACCGCTCAGTGTCCCATGGCCCTGAAAGGGAACAATTTAAAATAATGCTGCTGGACTGGTGTTGGAGAGTCTCACACCTTCAGGCCCTGGATCGTTCCTGGACATATATCTTTCAAAAATGTGAACCTGAACTTTCCCTCCTCCGATCTGTTCCTCCCCATTACCTGGTCTTTCATTCCTCTCTTTATTTTACTCTCTGCGCCCAACTTTCGTACCTAGCCTGAGAATAGAGTTGAAAGCGTTGTATGCAAAGCCTCCCTTGCAGCTTTTGTCCCATGTGTCGCAGTCCAGGAGTTCTGAAATGGGAGATGGATCGAGGTCAGTACATGGTGTAGGACCCTGGCAAAACCAGGACGATGAAATTCAACAATGATACAGCAATGCTGGAATCAGCGAAAGTCCCCACCCGCTCAATTTACCTTGCTCTGAGAGGGATAGCAGCTGTCTCTTCTTGATATACCACATTGACTCGATATTCGCCACGACACCAAAGGCCCAGGAAGAAGCACAGTGCCCCTGGAGACAAATGGTAGGCATTGAGCTGTTGAATGTCCAGGTCAACAAACAAACCAACTCTTATCTCCCCAAACTCAGACCCTGGGCAGAAGGGGGCAAGATGGAGTGTTGTGGGGGGGGGAGAAGCAGGGGAAAGGAGGGAGGGGGAGGGAAAGATATCACCCTCTGCTCCCATGCCTGCTTACAATCTCTGTGACTCCCTCCAGCCCATTAACATGTCGCCGTTATCCAAACGTATGACCCCATCTGCAGCAAGCACCCAGCAGCCCTCCCAAATCTGAGAGCCCCTCTGCTCCTGTGACACTCACTCATTCCCATCATGGCCCTCAGTTCTCCCTGGGGCTTACAGTTCCAGAATACACTCCCCACCCTGAAACCACTCCACCTCACTTTGTTCCCCTCTGAGATACTGCTCTAACCTCATCGTCTTTGACCCAATGTCCCATCATGTGCCTTAGAGATAAACTTGTCTACTTGCCAACCCAGTGAATATCCCTCAGGATTATTCAGGTGTCAAAGGTACTATTAAAATGCAACTTCCCTGATTAAAGGTGGTATGTCGTCATGAGTTCCAGAAGAGATCAAGGTTATCAATTTGACTGAAATTGTGAACATTATTTTTTTAAAATTACAAAATAATCAGACAGAGATATGTAACAATATCAGACCAAGTGTTAAACAGAGACAGTGTAGAGGGAGCTTTACTCTGTATCTAACAAAATGATCAGAGGTATAGATAGAGTAGACAGCCAGAGACTTTTTCCTAGGGTGGAGGTAGCTATTATGGGGGGGCATAGTTTTAAAGTGAGTGGTGGTAGATACAGGGGAGGCATCAGAGGTAGGTTCTTTACTCAGAGAGTGGTCGGGGCATGGAATGTATTGTCGGAGAGGGTAATGGAGTCGGCCTCATTAGGGGCATTTAAGCGGCTATTAGATAGGCATATGGATGATAGTATAAGGTAGGGGTGGAGGTTAGATAGACCTTAGGATTAGAGTAAAAGTTTGGCACAACATCGTGGGCCGAAGGACCCGTACTGTGCTATACAGTTCTATGTTCTATGTTCTAACCCCGTGCTGTCCCTGTCCTGGGGAGTGTTTGATAGAAGACATTGTAGAGGGAGCTTTACTCTGTATCTAACCCTGTGCTTTCCCTGTCCTGGGGAGTGTTTGATAGAAGACATTGTAGAGGGAGCTTTACTCTGTATCGAACCCTGTGCTGTCCCTGTCCTGGGAGTGTTTGATGGGGGGACAGTGCAGAGGGAGGTTTACTCTGTATCTAACCCCGTGCTGTCCCTGTCTTGGGGAGTGTTTGATAGGGGACACTGTAGAGGGAGCTTTACTCTGTATCTAACCCCGTGCTGTCCCTGTCCCTGGGGAGTGTTTGATGGGGGACAGTGTAGAGGGAGCTTTACTCTGTATCTAACCCCGTGCTGTCCCTGTGCTGGGGATGTTTGATGGGGGACAGTGTAGAGGAAGCTTTACTCTGTATCTAACCCCGTGCTGTCCCTGTCCCTGGGAGTGTTCGATGGGGACAGTCTCCAAGTGGAATTTCTTGAGGAACAGAGTGAGTTGCTCGGAGTCCTGGATTCGGGGTTGGACGTACCTGATTTTTAACTCTGGTGACTGCTCCCTTTTGCCTCCAGTCAACATTACGTGGACAGGACAGATTTTCTAATCGCTCACCTTCTTCTGCCCATTTATACCCCTCTGGCCAAGTCGAATTATCCTCATTTATAGCTGGGTTGAGGTAAAACTTCTCAAATTCTTCATCTGTTGATGTGAAACCACATTGAGTAACTTTCCACACGTTCCCACGCTCATATAACCGCAGCAAGCTGAGGGAGCTGGCTTTAAGGTGCACAGATCACTGAACATGCCAGGCCAGGCCGAGAGAGCACTTTCTCAAGCACACAGTGCCCTCAGCTTTATCAATAGGGACAAAGAGTCCAAGCATGGGGAGGCGATGTTAGTGCCCGAGAGTACAGCACGGAAACTGACTCTTTGGTCCAACTTCTACATGCTGACCAGATATCCAAAGTTAATCTAGTCCCATTTGCCAGTATTTGGCCCCTATCCCTCTAAACCCTTCCTATTCATGTACCCATCCAGATGCCTTTTAAATGTTGTAATTGTACCAGCCTCCACCACTTCCTCTGGCAGCTCATTCCACACACGCACCACCCTCTGCGTGAAAAAGTTGCCC